CTAAGTACAAGACCAGTTAATTACATAAAGATGATGAAAAAAATTGGGGAGAAATTTCAATTCTTTGACTTCATAACCCACATCAAACCAACCAATGAAGTTCCAGTGGTGTTTTTGAAAGTTTCCTCTGAGCAACAATAAATCACCTCACTCTTATTTTTAAACTATAGTGCATTGTGATAATAGCCAACACCAGAATGATTAGAGTACATGACTGACTGCCATTCTTAGGTTGAAAACCATTAATTTAGAACAAGTTTTGTTTGTAAGAATCACAGCTGTTATTATCAGTAAGTGCACATATCTCTATCAAAATCCAATGCTTCAATAAGGTAATACTTTAAAATAATAGTCTGAGTACAATCAGTTTTGGTTGCTGCTTAGGTAGGCAGCTTTTTGTACATAGAAGCTGTAGTGCTATCAGCTACAAGCTGGCCTGAAACTCAGACTGCAAGAATGAGACACTGGTCATGTAGTATTTATTCATAGACAGTAGTAAAAGTTTCTCTCCATTTTGACAGCATAATGATACACAGAAAATGGTACAAAAAAAGATTCTGGAAAACAACCCATGTCAAAATCATGGCTACATCCAGAACTGTCTCTTCTTTATTGCTAATATTGTCAAAGCAGAATAAAGGATATAACTATAGTCCCAAGCTTCAAACATATCTCATTTGGTGACTTAAATACCTCTTTCTCTTCCAAAAACAAAAATAGTGGCTCCTGGGTTACAATACAACATCACAACCACTCTAACAAGAGACACAAATGGATAGAGCTGTTGAGGCAAATGGAAGGTGGATGGAAAAGACTCCCAACCCCTTTAGATGCTAAGGAGAGACAGATATACCTTCACCAATATCCTGCATGTGGCAAAAAATGACAGACACAGAAATGTGATCAAGAGCCAATGACTAAATTACATTGATCATGTCTATCATTTTCTCAACACTATAATGACAAAGAAGATGCTGTTTGTGAAATCGAAGCAGGCACACCAACAGGACTCCTGGATACGCATCTGTTGCTGAATGACTCCATTGAACAAGAAGACCGAGTGAGAGCTGGTTTTGAGGTAATGATGGAACAATTCAACAATGCCACTCCTGCAACAAAATTACTTGTTGGAGGAACATACTGAAACTATATTGAACAAAAAAATAGTTCACTTTACACCCAAACATTTGTCTTCTCCATACTGTTCCCTATGCATTTCCTGAGGTGCCACTGACAAGGAGAATTTGTTTTGCAATCAAGAGCTTCTAAATAGTTAGTGATCATTTCCTTTGTTCTTGTGACCTTAAAGTCTGATTCACACTAGCTCATCAAGAAGATTGTGCTTCATGAAATTCATCAATCATAATGAGGAATATCCTCAACGTGCTAAAAAATACAGGAATTTGAATTTTTTAACATTTGTAACTTTTTTTAATGATAAGGGGTAATTTATTGGTCAACTGGGTTTCATGTCGTTGAATGTTCATTTTGAGTAGGACATTAGATTTGTAACTACCAATTACACTGGGGGGGAGGGGGGAGAAGGCTCTCTCATATAGAGCTGACTGGTGAGATTGTTAATAAGAGTAGTTAGAGGTTATCTGTATTTACAAATGGTAGATGATAATTGTTGTCTTAAAATATGATTTCCAAATAAACAAACCCTCAAATAAACTCCAAGTTAGAAACCTTAAGGGCCAGTTATTTACATGAGGTATAATCCAAACCACTGTTTTACACAAGTTGGGGGCCTTGCATATTCTCTATGAGAAGGTTGTTTTCTTTGAAAAATGTCCTTCCACTTATAACTTTGAGCCCTCTTAACACTGTTCACAAAAATGAATGTGCAGACAAAAGATTCAGCTTTATACATGATAGTTTAAAATGCAGTTTTGTTAAACAACAGCTAAACTTTGTTTAAATTACTGGCCCTAAAAGTTTAATATATGCTGCCATATTTAATCAATAAAAAAATAAGTTTTAAGTGGCCCATCAACTGCCAGCTAGCATGACAGGGCTGATCATAAAAAATTGTGAAAATAACCCTCTTATGTATGCATATGCATCCTGTTGGTTTTAGTGTGGGCTGATTTTCACTGCTAAAGCCCAGTCCCATCTGGCAATTGAAGCACATACAGGTGCTCAGGCACTTGTAAAAAAAAAGGCCATGATAGTGCTTATGCACTGGTGAGGACTGTGCTTTCAAGGCACCAAATCACCGAGCTAGCTCTCCATATTTTAACTCTGGATACCAATATCTACAACAATAACACAAATACATGCTCTGCTCGTATTCACGTTCACATTAATTGCTCATGGTGTAAAACAGTTCAAGGTTTGCATTTTTTAAAAGACACTTGAAGATGTGTATTATGTTGTTGAACGAAGTATCCATTTAAGTTCGTAACTGCTCGTAAGGCCTCATCGTACCTTATCATATTGACAAAGGCATATCCGGTGCCCTTCTTGACAGACACCGAAAAAATGGCTCCGTGTGGGGAAAAAAGTTTGTAGAGCAACAATTCATTGGCGATGTCCTCCTCTGAAGTCGGCAAACCATATACGAATATGCAGTGACAATTGTTTTTAGAATTTTGATGTGCAGGACTCTGATGATTTTGATTGTTCGTTTGATTTGTGAAATAGTTTGAAGAATTACGAACGGCTCCTAGTGGAGAGAACCGATTGTTTGTCGTCCCATGATGAATGGGACCGACTCCTCCGAGATTCAGTTCTGGTCTTAAAACTTCGTTCGCAGGTAACATTGAGACAGACTGTAACTGGGCTGAAGAAATACCTTTGGGAGGGTTTGCAAACTTCACAGCAAGGGTAGAGCCAGGTGCCACGGTGACACCATTCAGTGCATCAATGGCTGCCTGGGCTTCTGCCCTTTTGTCATAGCGAATAAATCCTACACCACGACTTTCACCGCTTTCTAACAACAAAATTTTCGAAGAAATGATTGTTCCATAAACAGCAAACCACGTTTTTAGGTCGCTCTCACCGATAGCTTTAGGTAATCCACTGATGTACAAGTTCGCATTTTTAATCTCCTCTGAAGATGGCCGGGCATAACTTACTCTTATTTTCTTGTTGTCAAGTTGATGTCCGTCAAACATTTCTATGGCTCTCGCCGCTTCAGCCTCAGTGTTGTAGTTCACAAAAGCATAGCCAAGGCTAACTCCGTTAGTCTTGTCCCTCATGAGTTTACAACCTATAATCTTTCCACAAGTAATGAACATGTTCTGCAAATAAGCTTCCGTTATATGAGGTGGGATATAGTTCACGATTACATTTTTCTTTTCTTTCGCGTCGACGACTCCGTTTGTAGGGATTTCCGTCATTTTAAAGAGAAGAAATGCCAAGTACCTGAACGTAGATCTTCGAACATTCACAGTTCTCAACCATACATTCGACTCTCCGCGCACATGCTTGTACCCGGTCCTAACCGGTCGATATAACAGGTATGCAAAGCGTGCAAGAGGGCTAGTCAAAATTCTGTGATAATGCGCAGATCTATTCGAAGCTACAACACTTCCACCTCCCCTCCTTCTGTAACCCCCTAGGAAGTCGAACTTTAGAGGATTGGTTCTTAATGAAATATTTGCGACGCAATAAATGAAGAAATCCTTATTACAAGACAAGAAGGAATAATTAAATAACTAAAGGAAGGTGATCAATATGCTGCTGCTCTCACAGCTGTAGCCTCGGTGTTGTAGTTCACAAAAGCATAGCCAAGGTTAACTCAATTAGTCTTGTCCCTCTTGAGTTTACAATCCCTAATCTTTCTGCAAGTACTGAACACATTTTGCAGAAAAACTTCCCCTATATGAGTTGGGATATGGCTCTTGATTATAATTTTCTTCTCCTTTCCGATGGCGACTACGTTCAAAGGGTTGTCCGTCATTTTTGGGAGGAAAAACACCAACGACCTACCACCAAATATCCCAGAAGATTCAGTGGCCTGTTGGTTATCTGTTGGCCAATAGACCTCTTTTGCTTTGCTTCTTTCACATTTCCTCTCATTTTCATGTAAATGTATGCATAATTTGCAAAAGATGAAAGAAACAGTTCTCTAGACTATCATCACACAACCTGTGTAGCTAAAGAGGTACCTGACTCTCTGTCCCAACCACCCGATAGAGCAGGCATGTAACACGTGAATTTACTTTTTTTTTCTTTTTTATTGGTATTTTCTGTTTTAAAGTAGGTTTATTTTAGTTATACTGATGTTTCACCTTTGACAACTTAAGGTCCCATTTTCTTTATTTTTTTCTTAATGGCAATCATGATCAATTTGGGGCTTTGTTTGCACATTATAGCTACTCATGGTTATCAATGATTACCCACTCCATTGTTGTTTCTCTTTAGTGTGAAATATTACAAAAGCAGATAGCATTATAAGGGCAGACATCATTGTATTTTGATTACAGCATACTTGGATTATGTTTTTATTGTTTAATATGTTGTTTGTTTTGTTAGTTTGTTTAGTTGTCATTTCTTTTTTTTCCTTAGGTCTTCCCTAACTAGCCCTTCAGCTACTTAAAGACCCCTCCTCCAAGTTCACAATAGTTTCAATCCCTTATTTTCTCACACTCACCCTCTCACTCCCCCCCCCAACTCATCTGATAAATGATGAAAAGTTCCCTTTTCCTGTTAAAAGCTTCACAGAATAGCACCAGTTGGTTTTCAAGCCTTTTTTGGTTTATTATCTCAATTTGGCAGTGAAGACATTTAACCATTTAAAGTGGATATTAATTAAATTATTATGTACCAGTTATTAGGTGTGCCTAAAAAGAACAACAAAGGAATAAATTATTACCTATAAATGATTGACTCTTCATCACAAATGAAAGCAATAAGGACTAGAATCTCATTTAGTGTTAGGAATCTTGCACATTTCTTTGACATTATCAGTTATTTTATGCAACAACCTTGTGGCTGATGAGTCCTTCAGCCTTTCTAGATCTGACTTTACAATGGTTGAATGACAACACCAGTAAAACGACATATTTATTATTCCAGTTGTAAACTTAGACATAAATATAAATGCCATACTTTCAAAACATTCCATACACTTCTACTTCATATTTTCTTAAAGAAGCCCATGTAAAAGAGTTTCTGTTTCCCTTATTTCCCAATGTCAACTTGAAAAATCCTCAAGATCCAACATTGTTTTTGCTACATCCTTTTGGGAAGATCAGGTTCCATGTTACATAGTGTTGCTTGTGGTTGCAGCCTTCAAGACAAAATCAAACACAAAAACAAATGTATGAGCTAGAATTTTAAATTTTTGAAAGCTAAATTTGGAGTCTCAGTGTAAAATTGAGTGTACTGGAAATGTATGAATTGTTTTTTCTACAAATCACTTGCCACCTAAGGTTTACCCTTAAGCCTTTGTGTTTCTCCTGCACTAAACAAAAGAGAACCAGGCATAAGAAAAACAAGAGCTTGTGGGGTAAAGCTTTTCCCTCTCAAACCTTTTAAGAATAAGCTTAAGTCCATTCTCATTGAAAATATTAATTGCAGAATGTAAGATTTAAAGTACCTGTCGTTGTTCAATGATGTCATCCCATTCTTTTGCAGCAATGCGAGGAATTACTGCTAACAGAAGCTTTTTGACATTTTCCACATTGGATTTAAAGATCGCCATTACTGATTCCACACTTACCTAAAACATCATTCATGATCAAGAAAATGTTAATACATTCAATAATATTTGACTTCAAAGAAATATGGTTGAGTGCATCAGCATGTGTATGGCAATGCCCAACACCCTTTGACCCTATTAGGTTCCAAGATCCAACTAGTATTTCTCCCTACTGACTGCCATACAGTTCCTAGGAAATTAGACATGACTTTTAGTGTTTCATCAACACAGCATCCTCTAGCTGATAATCTTATCTCTTCTCACAACCTGTTTGCAAGAAAAAATATTGGAATTGCAAGGAACAGTTGCATTTTAACCACTTCTGGGGGTTAAAGGGCTAACGCTGTCAACACTGAGCCACAATGAAACTCATGTGACTATGTGGGCTCAAAAATGTCTCATGTCCTGACTAACTTTCAATAGTATCACTCACTGGTAGCCTGATCATCTTACTTCTCAGGGGAAATGAGGGCAAGTGACCTAAAAATTACTCTGAGAATTTGGTTTAGCCCCCAGGATTTGCACCAAGGTTACCTGTATACAATCTTTGTCAGTGAAGACAAGCCAAAGGTTAGCTAAGAGAAAAATTGCAGCTGTCAGCCTGACTTTTAATGCTTTCTCTGTGCCAAATTTAAATTTTTAACAGTTAAAGCTTATCCATTTCAAAGCAAGGAGCAACTACAGGGTAGGAATTAAATAATTACAGGGTAACTAACCCAACTACAGGGTAATAACTCCTCCAATTATTACTTTGTTATCACCTTATTGATATCAATAAGTAAAACAGAGTGATGAATTTTGAAAAGCATATATTTCAAGGATTGCCCCTTTATTGAAGTAAGTTTGATTGCCACTTGTCCCCTTTCCACAATAAAAACCTCAAACAATTTAACAAGCTCTCCTGACAGTTTTTGGAGTAGAAGTGAGGCTGTAAGAGAAAAGCCTCTTGTCCAAGAACCCAATTCAAGGACCCAGGTGGTCTTAATCCAGAGTCCAGGGTGCATTATTCAGTCCAAGAATGTATTATTCACACACTCCTAGATTGCACATTAGCCACTCTGAGTTAGTATCGAATTCAGAGAAGAATTACCTGCATTAGTTACACATAGACAGAATACTTACTGGTTCATGATCATCTCTCCAACAGTCATAGTCAGTAACCATAGCAATAGCAGCATAACAAAGACCAGCTTCATTAGCCAGGACTACTTCTGGAACAGCTGTCATATTAATGATGTCTCCTCCCCACATTTGAAACATTTTGCTTTCAGCTTTAGATGAGAAGCGAGGACCTTCAACAACAACATTGGTTCCTGAGCTGTGATGACTTACATTCAATTCTTTGGCAACTTCACCAAGAATCTGAAAAGCATGTTAGAGGTACATTAATTGAACTGGAAAAGGAAAGATAAAACAGGATACAAACTGTTCAAAGTCTAATTTACTTTTAATAATTAAACTCTCTCTTCAGCATTTACTAATCAAATATGAGTATGACTGCAAGGTGTTCTACTTATGAGTGGTCACAAGACATGTCAAAAAAAACCCAACAAAATAACAAACAAAAAAGAACTTGTTTTGACTGCATTGCAGAGGCAGAGATAATCACTTATTATATTGGTATATCAACAGAAGAAATAAAAAAATATGTCCATGAAATAACAAGAAAAAAAAACTGATATGGACCCACCATCTAATTAAAATAAAAACCTGCACCAAATCTCTGAGATAAATACATATGAATGAAATTATGTACTAGAGTATTACTTTTAAAAATATTCTGGTTATTTCTGGAATTCAAAATTTGGATCAGTTCTTTTCTGAAAAAGTGGCCACAAACTTTACAAAATATTGAAAATCATCCTTACTAAAATTCTCTTTGACACCAATTGAGAACCCAAAGTTATGGAAAGAATATGACTCTTAATCTCTTTAAATTTACTCTTGAAGACAGTGAAGAAGATAGAATCCTTGATGAGAATGTTTTGAATCCATGCAATATAAAAATGCAGTTTGAGAGCAACATGTTTCATAGTTATATTTGTGACATGGGCAGACATCATTCAGCTCCATCACTCAAAAAAGATAAACATAACACAAACCTCTCTAACATGACGACAATAAGGTTCATGCATGGGCATGTGACAGATTCCAGATGGGCTTCCTTCTTTACCATCATAAAATGTAGAAACTCTTTTAGTGGTCCGATCAATGAACTGATCTGGAAACACCAGATCTCCAGGTTTATATTCCTCTCTTAAAGATCCACATGCTGTAGTGACAACAACATGAGTGCAGCCCTCCTCCTTCAGAGCCCAAATGTTTGCCCGATAGTTGATATTTGTTGGCATGACAGTGTGTTTCTTACCATGCCTGCCACACAAAGTTGAGAGACAAGCCAAACAAATCAATAAGGAACCAGTCTTAACAGGTTGATTATTACAATAGGCCCACACCATTACAGAAAGTTAAAGCTTAAAAACAGAAGTCAGGCTTTGAATTGGAAAGAAAGATGAAGAACAAGACAAAATTGAACCTAACAGGATACTTGCACATTGCTAATGTGTACTAAATTATGAAACACAAAAGTAACAAAAAATAAATGATTTTCAAAAGTCCTAATATGCACCTTATGATTAAAGTAAGATGAAATTGTGTTTTTTGTGTGTGTGTCATAATAACATAGTGGTCAGATTCTAAGTATTTAAAATAACTAGTAATGATAATGATGGGAATGTCCCTGTGGATAATGGTGATAATGTCATAGCTATAGCAATTCATTTTAATAAATGATGTACTTACCTTGCTAACAAAACACACTCCACTCCAGATATTTTACCAACAACTAAGGCATCTGAGGGCTTAAAATATTTTAACATAATATATCAATGATCAAGACCACAGGATCTGTTACATAGAACACTGTTATTTGCTAAAACCACTATAACTGGACCATGAAACTTTGGACAAAATAATAGGCTGGTTTCTAGATATTTTTAGGATTTCACACTGATGAGATTACATCATAGATAAAATGTCATATCGTGAAGTGCTCTTATTAACAAGACTCCACTGAACATAACTAAATCATGTCCAAGTAAAATAAAACCAAGATGAATATAACAAATACAACATTACAGTTGCTGTGATGTCCTCTGATTTTTCCAACTAAACCCTTTGACCCCTAAGAGTGATTAGCAACTAATTTCTCCTTACAATATCACCCCTGAATCACATATTAAGGTCTTTGTCAGCACCTTAGGAAATGTATATGAGAGAACAATAAGGAGATTACGCATAATGATGTTAGAGTGTAAAGCCGATTAATAAAGTGCAGATGTTATGAAGAACATAAACCAAACAAAACTTGGGGCTGGACAGAAAAAATTACAATTGAAGGATATATCAGGCTGGTTTAGATGGGTTTTACTGTCTGTAATAAGCTGTTGAGACAATATGACCCTACAAGTATAGTCAGGAAAATGACAACTACGAAGAACTGGAGACTAGCAGAATAGCACACATCTTCAAGCTGGCATTATGTGCAGAGCAAAACAAGAGGTAAAAATCTCACTCAAATTATTAAGTTGAATTTTCTCCAGAGGACTTGGCTGATCCAAAAGAATATGTCTTCATTATAAGAAAATTGAAAATGGAAGAAGAAGGCTACATCTGAATTTGCCACATTAGGTAATTCATAACTCTGTTCTACCAGTGCTTTTTATCCCAGACATAAATTACACATTCCTTTCTCAATTTTGCACCATGTAAGGAAGATACTTTCTCAAAATACCTACATCATACAACATGATGCATTTCTACAATTATTTATCAAGAGAGCCATAATGCAAAGTTCCCCATTCACTATAGTGGAATTTTACTTCTTGATTTTTGTGTGATTGAGTAAGCTTTATTTTCCAACAATATTTGCCACCTACTTGATCATTAAAAATACCTCACTCTAAGCCTTCATATTGTGTTGCTCAATAAATCATACTGGAACACATTACACATCACAGACTTACCTCTCCAAATGGTGTTGAAACTTGTTTTTCTTTTCCTTCTTTTAAAATATCAGGATCACTCAGGCCAGTGCCACCGATGATTCCAATCTATATGATCAAAAAATAAAAAAGTTTTACAAATAAAGAAATATCTATTTCCTTTCTAAACTGGTCAGATTAGATTCGTCAGACTTCATACTCTATTACACCTCCATTAGACATCCAAACAGGGTCAGATAAATTATACAGGCATAATTTAGGGCAGAATACTATAGTCAGAGCATTGTGCATAATACCACTATTCAAAAATTCCCTAATGTTACAGACAGTTCAACAGAAGATGAATTCTGTAGCCTGAGTAATTGTAAAGAGTGAGCCTGCTTTTCTTACATGCACTTCAGGAATTTATTCCCATAAAATGTTGTGTTCTTAATTAACTTTGGTAAGCCTTTTATCATTAGCAAGTTTTACCTGTTGGAGGTAGGATTGAGGGGGGTGGGGGAGGGGAAATTGAGGTTGAGGGGCTCTTAAAAGCTAATATTTCTTTGGAATTTAATTCAGCATAATGAAAACTTTTGAGCTTAATTCATCTGATCTACATCCAACCTTTAATAATTTTTTTAATTTTAAAAATTTATGGAAAGAAGCGCTAAGTTGTTCGTGTGGGCTGATTATTAACAAGACAATCTTGAAAAGTGTAAAATGTTCATGTTACAACGGCTAACTAACGGGAACTCTTTGTACGATGGATTTTTAAATTTCGAATTGATCAATGCTCATAAACCAGAATGTAATATAAATCTTAACAAAAGACATCATTCTTTACCTTTATCTTTCCCATGCTGGTTTCACTCTCACGTCAGAAATACGTTCCGCATGGAACGCTTTGGGCGCCACGCAACGCAGAACCACAAGGCGTTACTTGCGAACTAGTTGCAAGGAATCTGGAACCAACATCTCGTGACAAACAACACTGCAAAATGGCAGACATTGGAATATTATTACGCCCACCTCACGCAGCTATTTGTCTAGTGTTATTAGCCTGGATTCCCAGGATAGCGAATTCAAATGAACGAAAGAATGTCCTGGTAATTATTGGAGACGATGCAGGCTTCGAAACGCAGGTGTACGACAACACGGTCTGCAAAACTCCGAATTTAAACGCTTTGGGGAAGCGCAGTGTAATTTTTAGAAAAGCTTTCACTTCAGTCAGTAGCTGCTCTCCAAGCAGGTCAGCTATTCTAACAGGTAAATTTTAAAAATTTTCTAATGATCAAGTCTGATGAGTTTTGTTTGTTTTTAGATTACAAAATTTCACGTAATAATATATATACATATATATATATATATATATATATATATATATATATGGGAAAATTATCTATAATACATACATATTTATACTTCCACTCCACATAATTTGCATATTATTTAACCTAATAAGCTTCACATTTGTTGAAAATGAATCAAATGCCATGGCCTTCAAGCATAATGTGGCGATAGCAGGAGATGGACAAGGGTCAAAAAGAAGGGTTGGGGGGGGAACACTAACTGCATCAAAAAACATAAATTTAAAAACAATGCAAGGTAACACTGAAGTATAGCTTAAAACCATAATCAAAATGTGAAAGATGCTGTCATTAAGGCTACAGATTAACAATATGACCTTTATAATGGATTAACCACACACTGATATTTTAACATTTAATACTTAAAAGTAAGTAATCATTTGTGTCAAATGTTTTGTTATAACTGACTCGAGGGAACCCAGGAAATATTGAGGGAGTGAAAGGGTTATCTACTGCCTGCTTACCTTGAATTTATGAAAATGGATGGAGCTGTGTGTTGGACTTTATGTGTAAACAGCTTAAGAATAATCACGAAAATTTGTAATGAGTAATTTACTTGTACAATGGGATTTCACTCACTTACATGCACAAAAATATACTTTACAACAACTTTGATAACAGATGCTTCATAATTTCATTGGCACCTCAGTGAGCTTTATATTTGAACTATCAAACAACTTTTGATGATGTTTTGGTTGAAGGTCTTCCTCAGCATCAGAATGGTATGTATGGTCTTCACCATGATGTTCATCACTTTAATTCGTTTGATGCAGTCAGAAGTTTACCATTGCTCCTGCAAAAGGCAAATGTGAGAACTGGAATTATTGGAAAGAAGCATGTTGGACCTGAAACAGTAAGTTACTGGTAAAAAAAGGGAAAACCTAGGATTTAAGATGGCATATAGTATATTTTCCTGCTTGAGGAGGTAAAAAGACATCCTAAATAAATAACTCATACCATACTAGAAAGCCTCCCTTTGATTGATAGGTGTGTGTTTAGGTGAGAGTATTTATACATTGTTGTGATGTGTTAGATTCAAGCACTTTTCAAAGATATCTGAAATAAGTGAAGATGGTAAATTTTACTCTTGATGATTAAAGTGAAAGATGATGCTATTCAGTAAATTTCACACATGTATACTGGAAGAAAAAGAAATACCAATCAGTACATTGTAGGTTTGATTTAAGTTGGGAGCTCTCTGAGTTCTTTTTTCTCACAATGAGCTTGTATCATTTACTGAATAACTTCATCTTTCATACCGTATTTATTCGCCTATAAGCCGAGCGATTTTTCCAACAAATTAAACTGAGAACAGGTAAATTCTCGCCAAGGTAGGGGGTTCGGCTTATAGCCGAGTATTTTCGCCAAAAAAATTTACGGGTGCTTAACAAGATTCGAAATTTGACAACATGAAAAACTGGCCAATCAGAAGCGGTCATTCCCACGGTTTGTGTAAACATTGCAACACGATCTGACAGATATCAGCTGATCGAAGCTTTTCATTGTTTTAAAGAAACGAAAGACTTACCTTGACTTCTCTTCTCTGAAAACCAGTCCAGTAGTGTTTGATCCAATTCAGGATACTTTGGCGAAAAGCAGCCCATCGTCTTTCGCTTTGCTGACATTTTAAGCTCACCATTAAACAGGTTCGCTTGATCTTTTCGCCAGCGACGCACCATCGATTCACTGATTCCGTAATCTCTAGCGATCTAGAATGATCTATGTTTATTCATAACCTACTTTTTGGTTGCATGTTTCCCGAGAAGGAAGCTCCTTTTGTTTTCGGTTTATGTTAATTCATCTCAGTTAACGACACGCGTGGAGTACTTTGCAATTATTAGGTCTCGGCTTATAGCCGAATGTTTTGTGTTTATTTTTTATTTCAATGCAACAGCTGCTGACATGAAAAAGTTTAGGGTCTCGGCTTATAGCCGAGATCGGCTTATAGGCGAATAAATACGGTATATCTGAATTATTATGTAGAAGTAGTAGAAAACATATCTAGAGTTTATGTAGCCTCAATTAAACATGAAGGAGGTCAGAAGAATTCTTGAAAGTTATGTAACTGTGTTTGGGTTTGCATAACTGTTTTGAATTCTTGGAACTCCTCTTGACTTAATTTGCAATAATGTAATAATATAAGTTTCGTAACCTTGGTAACTCCTCTATTGCTAAAATCTTTGGTAAGGCTAGTGCTCCAGTTTTCTTTCAAGGCATTTTTGTGAACATTGCATATGTGTTGAATCAAACTTACAGCAAAATATAGTGCCTTATCTTTTTGATAAATATTGGTTTCTTTATTTCTTTCCTCTCTCTATAGGTGTATCCATTTGAATTTGCATACACAGAAGACCATCACTCTATACTTCAAGTTGGCCGCAACATCACCTACATTAAAGAACTGACACAGAAGTTTTTCCAAGGATCTCTGAATGACTCGCGCCCATTCTTTTTATACATTGGCTTTCATGACCCCCATCGATGTGGACACACCAATCCTGAATATGGTGAGCTTAAATGAATAGCTACTAAGTTATTATAACTAATGGCTCAATGTAACCTTTTAACTCTTCAGTTGTGGAGTGTGCACACTGACCTCTCAGAAAAGAAAATACACGACAGTTGTTTATTACTTCAGTATGAAAATGAAATTTGAACTCATTTGGACAACTGCCTCTTGATTTGCTTGAAAAAAGGAAAGTTTACAGAAAATGAGGTCATATAGTTAATGTAAGTTTCTTTAGTTGGTGATAATTTTCTTTATTCTTGTGACCTTAATATCTGATTCGGGGCTGATATTCTAAGGAGAAATTAGATGTAGGTCACTCTTAGGGGTCAAAAGGTTAATTTGGAGCTCACCCTATGCTTAGGGTTGTCCGTATTATGTTCTTTTTTTTTTTTCTAACACTTTTATGCTAATTCTTCATTCTCAGAAAATGTCACTATGATACTTAAATAACATCACTATCATGCTCTATAATAATTGCTGATAACATAAAAATAAATGAAATATATGAATAGACCACAATAGAGGGTTTATAAGCATGGATAACAGGCATAAATGCTTGATTCTTTTGCCTCACTATTATGCTCAAAATCATACCAGCATACCCTACCTATGACTACTCTATCTCAGTCTATATCTCATAGAAAAAACCCTTATGTTGTGTTTTTGTGTTCATTGTAGATACTTATTTGCTAATATCTATTAATTGGATGATTATTTTCATAATGTGAACAGGAAGCTTTTGTGAGAAGTTTGGAAATGGTGAAACAGGCATGGGGCTTATTCCTGACTGGAAGCCAATACACTACTCCCCTGAGGATGTGATTGTGCCATATTTTGTACAAGACACACCAGCAGCAAGACAGGACATTGCTAACCAGTACACAACAATCAGTCGCCTTGATCAGGGCATAGGGCTTATCTTGGAGGAACTTCGGCAGGCAGGCTTTGAAGACAACACCTTAGTCATATACAGCTCTGACAATGGCATACCATTCCCAACTGGTCGAACAAACCTGTTTGATCCAGGCATGGCAGAGCCCTACCTTGTATCATCACCTTACACCCCTGAACGCTGGGGCCAGGAGAGTGATGCTATGGTTAGTCTACTTGATATAGTTCCTACAGTCCTGGATTGGTTTGGACTTGATTACCCCACATACAAGCTTCTGGGACCCAATCCAGTACAGTTAACAGGGAAGTCAGTGTTACCTGTATTAAAAGAGGAACCACAATCTGGTTGGGATACAGTCTTTGCCAGCCACAACTTACATGAAGTGACAATGTATTATCCAATGAGAGTTATTCGAAACACAACCTTCAAACTGATACATAACCTCAACTATAAGATGCCATTTCCTATTGATCAAGACTTTTTTGTCTCACCAACTTATCAAGATCTTCTGAATCGCACAGAGGAGGGTAAGCCAACTAGATGGTTTCGCACACTTGATCAGTATTATTATCGACCTCAGTGGGAACTATATGATCTCAAAAATGACCCAGAGGAGCTGACAAACCTGTATGGTAAACCTGCCTATCAGGATGTCATCATGGAATTACATGGCAAGTTGAATGCTTGGCAAAATAAAACAGATGACCCATGGATTTGTGCACCAAGAGGTGTTCTAGAAAACAGGGGAAGATATCCTATAACAGGTGTGTGTTTGTCAATGGACAATGGCACATGATTTAAAATCAAATCTGAAAATGTTTTTATGGTAACTTTTATAGAATGATAACTTTTATAGAATGATTTTTTTTTTAATTTTTGAAAAAATTCTCATCACAGCATATTTCATAAAGAAGGTAAAGAGATTGAAGTTGAATTTTTTCTTTGTAGCAAAGGAACAATAATTAATTCATATTGTACAGGATAACTTTTGTATTGAAAGTTATTACCAAGTAGAATACAGCTTACTGGTACTAAAAATGGTCATGATGCTTGGGAGAAGTACCACAGTACTGATTTTTGTTCAGTCTAAATTTTCTTATGAATCATTGCATTCCTGTATCTAAATTGTGGGGCAGAAACATCTATCTTTGGCATTTGGTGGCAAGTAGGAATTTTAAATCAAGGTCTGCAAGATTTGAACCTGAATACTGAATAAACAGGTACTAGAAATGTACCAAGAGTCAAGGCACAGTTGTTGTGGAATGTTTCTCCAATGATTAGACCTCATATGAGAAGGTGAGAATATGAGATAGAGAATCATAATTATAAGGGGTGTTTTGTCTCCTCTGTCAGTTTGGGAACACTGAAAATCATTTTGACCAGAGTGCATATGATAGCTTCAGTCATCACCATAAGAAAATGATTGAACTCATTCCTATGATTGTCTTAGATTTTCAATGTTGTAATGAGTATGCAAAATCTGGCATGGAATAATCGCATCCAAATGGCATATGCTCCTTCATTGCAATCTCACCAATGGATGTCTCAGTTTCAGTCATTTGTAACTGTTGACCCTCCAAGATGCCCACAACCAGTCAAGGAGCTTTCCTAAGCCTGACTCATTCCCACAAGATCTTAACATTCATCTGATTAATATTATGATAGTTATGGGGCTTGTGGGAATTAATCTATGCTCCAAAGATTTGACACCCATCCTTCCTTTCAACCCAATGCCATTTCCTTGCAAGTTTTTTGAAATATTGTTTTTATTTCAAGAGGCCTTGGTGCAAACACATCTGTAATGTGGACAGACACTTTCTACCTGTTTGGACAAAGCTATTAAAATATTGGGGTTCGTATTTCATTTTGGGTGTATGGAACCCTTAGTAGTAATCTCCTTTGACAGAGATCATTACAAAATCCACCAAGTATGGTATGGGCCTGAGAAATTACAAAAAAGCTCACATGACACGAGGGATCTGTAGTTACAATTTAGATTCCCCCACCCCAGCATTCCAATCCTTGGTAATACTCTACATGAAACCATGGTGAGATTGGATTTTACTCAACCTCACTGGGTTGGGCAGGATCCTGGTATACAAGTGTGATGGGCAGTATTTCGTTTTGGTATGATGACATTGGAAATTTGCCCCCTCCCTCCCTTCTTACCAATGTTGATTCCGTTTGTCAAGTGCCTAGTCTTAAATTGGCAGTAGAGTTTAAACAGTTGTTGATGGAGTGAGGGGAATTTTGTGTTAATATTGTAGACAATCATCTTGTATGTAGAATTTATTGCAAAATGTCTCACTGGAACTTTTAATAATGGTTTCACTTAGAAATTACCCTGTATGTCCCTCAGTACAGGCCCAGTGTACAATACAGATGTGTTTTTCAGTGCTTTGAGTGCAATCACATCCTTATGTATAGACAGAAAGAAATCCTATGAATCTTAATCAACAATAATATCAAACAGAATTTTGACTAAACCTCTTCATAAACCTTTTACCCTTCCAGAACATACTGGTACTGGTAAACTGATTATGATTTACAAAAAAGACTTCAAAATTCACCCACAAACAATAAGTATATAGAACAAATAGTCTCCTTTTCTTTTGGCTCAAAGGATGAGAAAACAAAGGTTCTTGCAGCCATTATTTCTTGAAATTTTACTGTAGTGAGAAATTGAATTCATACTAAATAACAGTAAAAGGGACACTTATGAATTTCAAACCTTAAAAGAAGCTTTAGATTTTTATTTTTTAATTAATTAAACACCTGGGAAAAAAAGTGACTATAAATTGTATAATTTCATTTCCACCATTACCTTTACCAGAAGGGTTTTTTCCCCTTGCAATTACAGAACTCGGGTATGAAAACTTGATCAAAATTTTTTTTAAGGCTTAACTAATTTTTATGTCTGATTTGGTTTTTCAGAACTTCAATGCATGTGTTGATAACCTCTAATGTACTGTGTCATTTCTCTTTTTTACCTGAAAATGAATGGAAAATCATTACTTGTTAAGAAAAGACAATTAGCTATTCACTGATCAAATTCTGGGGCAAGAGGAAATAGGTAATGAATTTTTTTACTTTTCCTGGTGTCAACTGACAGAACAAACATTAATATCAACTCTAAAGTTTTTACGGCCTAGAATCATGCAAGCATGTTTGACTTTCTTTTTAAGACTTAAGTGTTTGCTTCAAGCAATGTAAATACAAAATTGTGATCTTCTGTTCTCCTTTCAAAAAGAACTATCAGTTATTGAAAACTTGTTTCCATGATTACTATTGTTATGCAATGTGTCAGACAAATGAACTGTGCAATCAGTCAAAGGAGTTATTGATATTTTTGCTTTTATCAAACAATGTCATGCAATTATGGCAACTGTTATTCATTATTATTGCCTCAGCTTCCTAGACGTTTAAGCTTTTTCAAAGCTTTCAGATTTGAAACTCCTAAATCTTGGAGTAATTTCTCTTTGTAACATGCAAATCTAATAATATTTCTGAGCAATGGAAATGCTGTATTTTTGTCACTTGTGAATGTTTCACCTTCTTTTAAGCTTGAGAAGATGAAATTCTCAGAGAGATTAACTTAAATTCACCAAAAATCTGGACACAAAATCCTACAAGGAGCTTAAAGCTGACCGTCTTCTTACAAAAGAGATTTCTACATTCTCTCTGATGTTTTTCCCATAAAATCAAGTCAACAGTTAATGAGAATAAAGGAGCTGATTAGACCCAGGCAGGACAAAAAAAACAGATTCTCTCATGGTGGAAACTTTTCCATGTGAAAATACTTTAAAACCACAAGCATAATGACTATCATGCTAAAAATGGAAAACATTATATCTACAATCTTTTCAATTTAACCTCTAGATTTAAGACAAAATGAAAAAAATTTCTCTTCTCCATAAAGGAATATTTTCCTATTGTTAATTGGAATTTACCTTGAGGTTTATTCCAAGATAATTACATAAGACAAATATGCAGATTTCAAGACAAGCACTTAGCGTATTGATTGATAGTTTTATTTCAAAGCAATAATATTTCATAGCTGTGGGATAAAATATACATAAGGTAAATGCATTTATTGGGATTTTTATCCATTCAGTGGCATTCTGTGTCAAGCCTAATGGTTCCCTGGGAAATTACATTCCTCCCACATGCTTTTAGCTAAATGTTGTTTGCATTATATCCTTCCATTTTCCTTAGAATTGATGCACAAAAAAAAGAAGTCAATTTCAGCATAGGGGTTGTTTTTGTTAGGATATGTATCTTTTCCTGTTTCTGCTGCAGGGTGTGAGTACCCCCTTACAGATGAAACTAGAAATATCTCAAACAAGTTTATACATGACCCCAGGTGATTATAAAAAAAAGCACAGAACTTCCTAAGCCATGGAATTGGGTGATTATTTAATTATGCTGTGACACAGGCTAAGTGGATTTCTAGTAAAGGCTCTCAGAGGATTTCTCCTTGTTTACTAATATCCCAGGGTAAAGATTATCCAAAGGTATTATCTTTATGATAATGTTACTTCCTCTGGGTACAACTGCAATGACATGTGGAAGGAACTTCCAAAATGGTTTCTTCTTTTAAGGTGTTGCTTTTTCAATATTCATAGTTCAGCAGAACAAGATCCAAGTCCTTTAACATTTTCACTTCATCATTACTGGAGTGTTATGTCTGGCTGTTTCATATCCACTTCCTTTGTACTTTGCTTTTGGTATTGCATTGAGAAAACATCAACTAAATAATGAGAAAGCTTTCATTTTGAAATTACTTCTGAAATTTTTGAGCCTTTTTCATGAAAAATCCTGAAATTTTTAATGTCAGGTGAAAGTAGAGCTGGTGGTCTCTAAATTTGTGATATTATCCTAAGCAGAATATACTTAGTTCGTTTCACGTCTGACATAATTGATCTCTGACAGCTTTATTTAAAGCAGCTGTCATTTCGTTTAATATCAACGATCACAGAAAAAAAAATAACAATTCACCATCAAACACTCTGCTTCAATTCTTGTTCAGTTTACACAGACAGTTCAGAAAATGAAACTCTCACAATCGCAAAAATCAGAAATGTATAGTACTTATTCTTTTCAGATTGTAAGCTATCAGTTGATAAAATCCATAAATCCTCACTAGCAATCAATGTATATTATGTTGAGCACACAAATAAATGTCAAAACTTTATGCAAATGCTTTCTTATCTTAATCTGTAGTTAAGCTTGTAAAATATCTCTAATACAGAGAAGGTATGCCTAGAAACCATTTCTTTAAATACACTGGGTAGCAGTTGAACAATGGTAAATATGAAACATTTCAACATGTAAGATTCAACAACCCTTTCTATGTTCTATATAAATAATATAAAAAAATTCATATTTTTATGTTTTGCTCATTTTAAACTGAGGAAACTGTTCACAATATGGAAATCTCAATTCAGCTGCTCAGAATGGTATCACAATATTTTATTTCTGACTTTTAAACTTCCCTATTGAATCTACCACAGAACTTACAAAAGATGATGTTCCCAATTTATCCCAAATTTAGGATATTTTTCTGTTATTTTTATAATCATAAAAGCTGATATTTACCACAACAAAATGAGGGGGTTTAGCAATTGCTGTTAGTGAAAGCTATCATCAAAATCTTCCTTCTAAATATTTTATTCCTGTAATTTAAAACTTTGCAATGTAAAGAAAGGAAACTTTAAACCATATGAATATTTAATTTAAAAATTTTGAAACAGGAAAGTAAGTTATAGCAGACCGATTTTCACACTGAATATTCAAAGCAAGAACATCTTAGGAATTAATTTACTGCGGTCTCTTTAATGCACTAATCCCAAGGATAAATTCAAAGGACTCGTGAAAAGCTTCACACATAAGGTGCCATCATTATTATTCCACAAGCAATTACATTTTTACATTGAAATTTTCATAACAATAATTTCACAGAAGGTCAATTAGCTTGAAGAAATACAGAGTAACCTGTACCTACAGACAGTTGATTTCTCTTTTGATTTTTTCTGCTTATACAGTTTTCATACTCAAAACATACTCCAGGAAATTGCTCCACTTCTACCGACAGCAGGGAAATAGAGAAAGCAATTTTTCCTGTAAATCGTAGACTCTCTCTATATATATTTTTATTTGCTCTTGAAAATATCTCTGAGTGTATGATTACAATGCAAAGGAAATTTACATTCACCTTTAAAGCAGATGTTTGTTTTTTACAATTATGGTAGACTCCCCTAAGAAAATAGTAAGAGCATGAAAATAAAACTTTAGTTTGCTTTGGTAAAATGAAAACTAACCTTGAAAATATTCCATTATGAAAGACCCAGAAATTTTCTGCCATAGAAAATGCCTCAGTAATTTGTTAGTAGGTTTAGGTTATATATAAAATGTTGCTCAGCAAGAGTTCATTCTTGTGCTCAAAACAAAAATTGTAAGATGGATTACTGGGAGGGGAAATTTTCTGCAGAAATACATTACAATAACCTGCTGAATCTCCTTTGATTAAAATACAAACATTGTAACAAGGTTTTGGATAATTTTAAAGGGTTTCATAGCAAAATTGTTGCTGTTGCTAAACCAAACCTATGTGCTGCTTAAGTTCAACAACATAACAAAAGAGAAGACAATTTTTTTCTCATAACGTACAACCATGAATATTCAGTTAATTTATCTTATCTAAGGATAACAGACTGCTGTCTGTGTTCCCAAACATGTCCACTTTAAGATGGTGTACAGAATTATTTGATTACCTTCAAATTTCCCTAAAAGACATACTTTTCCTTTGATCTGAATCAATTAAATTCAAAATGCTTGTACTTTTTTTCAGAGACCAAACATCCTCCACTGACTAAAGAAATACATGTGATGAAAAACTTAACTAAAACAGGATTTGAATATAAATGAAAATTATTATTTCTTTCTTCATTTATATTTTTATCAGACAACCTGCTGAGGAACATGACAATAATCCTGACTATCACATATTGCATCAAACATGCATTTGCTATTTTCAGAAAACTACATATATTGCTTTGTGTAAATGTGGTGCACTTATTGACTCTGCAAATCAGGGGATATGAGCCCACTAATTAATGAAACACCAGCTGTGTTCCCAATGTCCATTTCCTTCTCCTGGAACCATTTTATTGATTGGAAGAAGTCTAGACCAAACAGTGAATCCCTATACCTGAGCTGCCAATAAATTGTTTACAATCCAAAATCCTGCATTCCAACAACTGCCTTCACCAAAGGGTCTCAGAAGCTACTAATCTAACAGTAACAAAAAGAAAAAAGAATCTTTATAGATAGCTGTGAATTGCTTTGGATGAAGGAATTGCAAAGAGGTTTTAGAAATATATTATTTAATAGCCATGGTGACCTGGCTATTGGGTTTCAACTTGCATTTCATTCAGTAAAATTTTTAAATTTAAACTTGAGCATTAATTCAACTTTGGCAATTTGTATTATGCATATAATTATCATGCTCAAAATACAGAAATCTATTTGTAACATAGATATGAAATGTGAACTGCAAAGCTTTGGGGAAAACACTTATGCATAAAATGAAGATCAACATCACCTCACCACAACCTTTCTCTGGAAGCAAAGTCTTAAGATATACTTAATATATACTGATCAAAGGAAAAAAAAAAGTCACCAATCATGTAAATTTAATTTCATGTAGAAATGTCTCCCCAATTAAGTGGAATTTTCTTATTGGATCTGATGGATCTGAACTTCTATAAAAATTGCCAGTGATCCCTTTCATTATCATTTCATAAAAAAAATTTATGACCTTTCTGCAATACTGCAAAAATAAAAATGTACACATTCTATATCTGTTGTTGATTTACAAGCTACCACTCACAAATATTTCTGCTTTCTATCAACTCAGGTGGTTACAAGCAAAATAGACATGACTATGTGGTGGTTATTAGAAAGAAAACCAGTTAAATGGAGTATTTTTTTCTGATAAAAAAACTCCATAGGTAGCCACTAATGGATTTCTTTTTGTGCAACAAGAAATCTGTACAAATGGTAAATGAAATGTTTCATAATGATTTTTTCAGTAAAAATATGCTTTACTTACAGGGTGGAAAATTTACAGAAACATTGACTTAAATATTTATTTTCTTTCCCCCAAATCAATTTTGTTAGCAGGCATTTCACATACAATAGCAGATTAATTTTAATGAAATGAACTCTCTCCAGCCAATCACATTACATATTTTCCCCACCCAGCCCACTGCCAGCTTGTCAAAACTGATTCATGATTAATTTCATTTTTAATTTTTTTTCTTTTTTTTGAGTCAGTTCATAACACCTGTATACAATTTGGTGAAATGAACCACTTTGTGGAAGCAGCTGTTTGGGAGTAAAAGATTTCCTGCTCAAGATCTGACCCACCAAGAGAAAACGACAACAATTAGTCTTGCAGGAAAATTTCACATTTAGAAAACGTGAAATCTCAACAGGAAAAAATGAAGTAATCATGCATAGCATTCTTAATCTTTGATGATCTTAGTGATAAACCTTGTGGCAGAGTGTTCATCAATTTTTAAAGAGATGATTACCTCGTTCATATTCCTTTGCTTGGATCCTTTCCAACCAGGCTTTCGACGATTTCTTCCTTTGACCAATGTTTGCTAGCCCACTCAAATGAAAACCCTAACTCCCTTCACATCCTTCTACAAATTCTATAGCATCAATTAGAAAACTGAGCAAAATAAATATAAAACTGAGAGTAAATTGAACTCCAATGGCTTGCTACAGTAACACTTGAGTAAACTAGAAAAATGTTTGAGTGGATTTACTTTAGCAAGTTCTAAACATTTATAGTTTTCTTGTGCATGATAGACAGACGAAAAGAGGGAAAATGGCAAGAAAAAAGTTAAATAAATACGAGTCCTCAAGGAATCTAACAATAATATTTTCGACACATAAGCGAAAGCAACGACCTTTTCTCACACGAATAATTCTATAATGTTATCTTCTGCATTTTTCCCAATCAACAAAATTTTGAACAAATGAAATTAGTAAAGTTATCAGTTCTTCTTGGCTAACTCGAATAATGGCACTCAGAGGGCAAAATGAATAAATCGTTGAGATCAAACAGAGAAGAAATATTGGAGACAACACAACAAAAATAAAACAAAATCATCAACACGAAAAAATAGAAGAAAAATTTAATGAAAACAAAACAGAAGTGATCGCAGAAATGCTCGATCCAAAACGGAAAGAGCGATCGCAACGACAAATCAAAAATACAGCAAAGTAAATAAGGATTCAACCAAAGAGATCGACGACCGGTGCTATTATACCGAACTGTCAAAACACCTACGAACATGGTCTCACAAAAACTAAGAAGTTTCTAACGAGAAAATAGCTCGAATTACCAAACAAACAGTGCACTTAAATTAAGATCCTGCCTAAAATATTATCAAGAATTGGTCAAAAATTTGGTTGATCTCTAAGAATTCCAGTATACCTCATACAGACGTACTCTATTTACCTTTCTAATTAACACACAAAGTCAAAGTAAAATCTAAATTTTCCAACTATTTTTAACGGAAGAAAGCTCCTTGCCAAACGGCAAATATCGCTTTCCTTAACCTAGGCTATGATTAAAAGATCAAACGAAAAACTAGGGGCAAAATATGAAAAAGGAAAAAATCAAAGCTTTGATAGCAAGCTTGACGTGGGGCGGAAGGAAGGGCGAGACTAGTTTGACTCGCCATCTTTGTTGGCACTCTGGCTGTGTGAATGTTCGGCGAATGATTCAAGTTTGTCAAAGTGCTCTCATTTTTATTGCTTCTTGACGTTCGGGGTCTTAAACGATACTTGAAGAGGAGGTTTATCCTCGTGTCCAGCGATTCGGTGTCCGTTCAGACCGGCAATCGCTTGTTGTGCATCATCATAGTTTTGCATGTTAACGAAGCCAAAATTCTGGCCTTTCTTCACGCGCACGTCAGAAATTGCACCGTATTTGGCGAATAGTTTGTACAATAGCTTCTCTGGGTCAACTTTAGTAGTTCCTCCGTCGTCCTTGTCTGACGGCAAGCCATAAACGAAAACACAGTAACTGCCGGGGACAAGAGCGTTCGGAGTAAAGGTGTTGTTGTTTGGGCTTTGAAGAAACGTGAGCGGCGAGTAGCGAAAATTCGCGCCTTGGTGGTACAGAGGCCCTACCCCGCTAGCGCTGAACGGTGATCTTGCATTTCCACGAATTTGCGGCGGAGTAAGACCGATTGGTGACTGAAAGGCAAACGGAATCTGAGGCTTGTTGCTCGGAGGATTGGCAAACTTCACGGTCAGTTTAGAAGATTCCGAGGGACTTACACCCGGAATCTGCGCGCCATTCAATGCGTCGATCGCAGCTTGCGCTTGAGAGCGCTTGTCAAAACGGACGAATCCAGCACCACGACTCACGGAGTTTTCATCTTTGAGAACTTTTGATGTTATAATCTCGCCATATTTATGAAAGAGTGCCTCTAGCTGTTCCTCATTCATTGCCTTTGGTAGTCCACTAATGTACAGATTGGCATTTTTTATGTCCTCTGATGAGGGTCGAGCATAACTCACTTTGATATTCTTGGTCTGAACTCGCAGCCGATTTAATTCCCTGACCGCTTTAGCCGCCTGATCAGGTTCCTCATAGTTAACGAACGCGTAACCAAGGCTGTTGCCAGATACTCTGTCCCGTACGAGTTTACAACTCGACACGGTTCCGAATTCACCGAATAAGTTTTTGAGTTCGCCCTCGCTCATCGAAGGCGGTAGGTAGTTGATGATCAAATTTGTCTTCATGTTGTGATCTGTGCCGTTTTCCAGGGATTCGCCGTTCATCTGCACGGGAACTGTGCTATCATTCATCTTGTCCAACATCAAGAAAAGTTTTAAAGCAAGAGAGGAACTCTTGGAAAGATAAGGAATAAATTACAGGGTCACCAAATGAACTCAATCGTCTCGTGGACTCGACCGAACGTCAAAAATTCGAATGTGAACTGAACTGTCAGAGATGGCGGTAAAACTTATTTATGTTCCACGTGGTTAGACTCCGCACAATTTCGCATTAAATTCAACACCCTCTAGCTTCAATACAACTATCCCACCAGGGAGGGCTAAGCAATTTATTTTCATCACAGATTGGTATTCTCTTAATCTATGGGGTTTATGGTGAAGATAAGTATTCTAAGGTACAATTTCGTGTAATTTAATGGATTTGAGTTGCAGGCGGTTCATTCTTGAAGCAAAAAAGCAAGTTTTGAAGATGTTTATAAAATGTAATAGGGTAGGGTGGGGTGATGAGATTGTCGGCGGCATTACAAAGGACCGGAAAATCGGAAATTGCAGCTGAATTCGCACGCTTGAAATCTACGAAGGGGATGAATTATGTCTGATCTGTGGCAAAAAGGATTATTTCAACACTTGAAAACAAGAACAATTTGAATTTAAAGCGGAAAAAAGCTAGAAGTTTTGCTATTAAAACTTTGACAGATGCGTAGGGCCTGAACATTGATTGAAAATTATCATTTATTCTTTTGTTTATGCCGTGCGAAGATCTACAATCTTCAGTCATTTCACAAATGAATTGTACGTATTCATTTCATTGTTAAATTGTCGTCGCTTTGCTATTTTATTTTCTTTCATCGCCTAATTTGTATTAGCCTCGGGTAAAAAACAAAACTTGGCGCGTCTATGGATTGTATTCGGCGTTTATAAAATTTTCAAGTTGTATGAAAATCAGCCCACTTTCTTCATTTCCGTTGTTTGTGCGTTCGTTTAAGCACAGAACGATTACTACCGCTGTTAGACGACGATTCAAAATGACATCAAACACAGGAAGCTGTCATGGGACTCGCTATGGTGTTATAGTTTGCGATAACCACGAAAAATGGGGTGGCGTTTCATCGATAGGAAAGCGTTATGTCGACATCTTCAAAAGCAAATCTGAGGCCGAGGATTGGCGTATTTTCGCAGCTATTGAAGGCGAGGTACCTTCCAAAGGGGATTTAGAAACATTTGACGGCTTCTTTATCACGGGAAGTCCCCATTCTGCGAACGATGATATCAAGTGGATCAACGATTTGAAGGAATTTATTTCTTCTTCGGCGAATTCATCCAAGGCTCGTATCATAGGTGTGTGCTTCGGCCATCAGTTAATTGGAGCCGCTCTGGGTGGTCAAGTCACGGCGAATCCATCGCAGAAATTCGTCCTGCAGAGCGAAGAAGTCAAAACAGATAGGAATTTTCGAGGAAATAAAGCAATAAAAGAACTAATCGAAGGCCTTGATGGCCCCCTTCGCTTGCTGGAGTGCCATGGTGAATGTGTAGCGACCCTACCCCCCGGAGCTACAAATCTGGCGGAATCAGCAACTTGCCATCATGAGATGATTCAATTTACAGAAAACATCTTCGGGATTCAAGCGCATCCAGAATTTATTGTGCAAGATTATAAAGATCATCTGATCCCTGACTTATTCTGTGGCGGTAAACTAGACGAGAATGGAAAGAAACTTTGCGAAGAGTCTCTTCTTCTACCTCTAGATTCATCTAAGATGGCGGCTGCCTTGAAGAAGTTCCTCTCGAAAGAGGATTCTTAAAATTTCGATGACAGACTCTACAAACCGAGGAAAATGGTTGCATAGTTAGCCATTTTTTTCTTTTTTTTTTTTTTTTTGTTTAAGCAATAAAAGAAAACACTTTTACCTTTAAGGGGACTAAGGTATTTGAAATATCAGTGGTGTATGTAAAATTTCTCCACACATTTTTAATACTCTAACCAGGGGCTAAAAAGCAAGACTTGATCAAATCATCAGGGAGCAAAAGGTTGAACATGTACTTTTAAATAAAGGGGTTAAGGTGCTGTAGTAGAGTATGTGTGGGTACTTGGAAATTTTCTGTTAGAAAAAGTACATTGCAGGAATCACAATTTTGGACCACTTTTTTCACACAACTTTTATGGTATTATTGGGAAGGAAACGGTTCCCTTGTTTCTACATTTACAAATTTGCTAATTTAACCAGTCTGTTGCATGATGCTGGCCAAAGCAGTGGTTAGGGTCAAGGGTTTTTGCTGGCTGTACAGTACTACTTTACAATGTAACCTTTGTTAGAGACATTCTGGCTGGGTATGCCACACACATGTTAGCCATCTGTCGCTAGTTTTTTTCACAACCTGACCAGTCACTGTGCTCTACATCAACTGAATTCCATATCTGGTTTTTACCAAGTTTCATTATACAACTTTCAACCACAGTGAAGAATTCTATAGGTTTGAGTGGGTCATATTGCATATCATGTCAGTAAAATGTATATACATGCTCAGGACTAGAGATGGTAAGGTTAAACTCTGTGCTCACCATGGTGACATTAAATTTTTAAACTAACAATGCTAGTCTGAGTGACAGTATTTTGATTATTATAGTATTGGTAATTTTTATGTTAATTATTATGAGTCTTCTCCAGTGTTACTGGTTTGCCCTTCACTTTTTTGCAAGAGCAGACTAGGAGTCTAGTGCTCACTAAGAATGTCAACAATTTTAAAAGTGGCGATAGAAGTATTCTTAAGGGTATGAGTGTGTTTGTTTTTTCTTTAAGCAACAATATAATTTTGCAAAACTGGGCAAAGTGCCAATAATTCAATCGGTGCTGTTATAGGTTATTAACTGTAGACTAGTAATGTCATTTCACACTGCAAAAACTCAAAATAGTGCAAGGGTGAAAGTTTGGGTATTGAACTGGCAAATACTTACAATCCTCAGAATTCAATTAGGTGTTAGGTATTTTTCTAATGGATATTCATGGGACATCAAGCCTCTATTTTAATAAAGTATCAACCCTAAATGTTTCTCATCAGCATGGTTTGTTTTATTATTCTTCTATTTATATATTAATTCTGTTACTTTGTTTTATTATTCTTCTATTTATATATTAATTCTATGTTACTTATGGTTAGATTTTTGTAAATCCTGAGTCTTGTTCCAACAAAATTACTTTTCAGACAGTCTCTGGGAGAATTAAGGCTTATTTTGAATGATTTATAGCCTGTGTCAAGCTCTTACTAACTATTGGCAATCGAGCTAAGACAGTGACAGAGGTGTGGGAAATTATCCTTGTCTTGATACTTGCACAGATTCTACACATTTTTGGTGGTTTGGACCCAAACTATGTCACTCATTGCATCTGTTCTTGGTTGCTCTAGTTGTGACTCCTTTCCTGAGGTCTGTACATAACCAACTGGCATGCCTCCTACTGTAGGGGAATTTTTACTAATGTATGTTAATTCCGAATAACTGGCCTGAATAGACGTACCTGGGAGTGGTCAAATATAAATACTAACAATTTCCAAATAAGTATTAAGGGAAATGATTGTCATTGGCAATATTTAAAAGAAGAAACTGTTTGAGGGAAAAAACCTGGAAAATTCAGACTTACAGTTGGTTCAGACCTGTGTCGTAGGGATAGGAGTAAGGTGCTACCAACAACAGAGCTACAGGCATGGGTTTTGGGAGGGAATATTATCACAGTCAACTATGTCAAAGGCTGCATTTTGACATCGAATTTGAACTTCACTTTTGAGGATCACTTCATTCTTTGCTATCATCCACTGGTGAAAATATGGTTTATTTCATTTATTTGTGACCAAATTCCTCTGTTCACGCCTGAATACTTTGAATATTTAGACAAATAACCCGAGTTGGCAAAATCTAAGAGGAAATTTCCCATAAACAGGAGCCCAGTAATCATATTCCCTCCCATCAGGTGATCTAAATAATACGTAATCGTATGCGAAGACTGCGTGACAACTTTGTGACGTACATAGCTATCGACGACAATCACGCACTCGGTTGTAACAACCGGTGTTTTGCGTCACGTGAGGATAAATTACATTGCTCTTGAACAAAGCAGTGAATTCTGAAGCAATGGAACAGAAACGATTTGCGGTTTTGATCTGTGAGGATGCAGAGAAGTGGGGAGGAAGAGACGTGATGCTCAAACGTCATGTTGAACTTTACCATCGTGAAGATGATGAGGAATGGCGTGGGTTCAATGTTTGCGGTGGAGAAGTTCCCACAGCTGAAGATCTCGATAAATATAATGGTTTCATCATCACAGGAAGCCACTATTCAGTTCATGACGATAAAGAATGGGTTCGAAAAGCCGAGAAATTTGTAGCTACTTTGGCGGAAAAATCGCCTTCGAAGCGTTTAGTTGGTCTCTGCTTCGGCCATCAACTCGTTGCCAAAGCTCTAGGTGGAGTTGTAGCCAAGAATCCTTTGGGAAAATTCGTTTTACAAACCGAGCGGGTGATGGCAGCCCACAGCAGCAGCGATACAAATTCAATTGTATCTAAACTGTTCGAGAAAGGTTCTTTAGATTTGCTGGAGTCACACAGCGAATGCGTGACAGAACTTCCCCCAAATGCTAAGACCATCGCTAGTTCCAACACTTGTGAACACGAAATGGTGTTATTTGCTGATAACATACTTGGAGTCCAGTTTCACCCTGAATGTACAGCGGAAGAGTTTGAGGAAAAAATTCTTCCTTTTTTGAAAAGTGGGAAAGTGTTCACAGAGGAAGACGTTTTGAAAACTAAAGAATCGTTTAAAGTTCCTCTAGATTCCACCAAAGTGAATGAAGTGCTGAAAGACTTCCTGCATCAGTAGAGAATGGAATGGTTTCCATGCATTTCTTCACATCAAGCTGTCAAACCGGGACTGCCTTAGCTATTATATTACCTGCTTTATACTGGGGTGTTTTTAAATATGTTATAGCTCTGCTATGAATGAAATGGTCTTAAATGGGAAATTCCAAACCCCTCCCATTGAGGGCCAAATTCTACACCCCTTGACCTCCTCAGGGTGCAATACAAGTGTTTTTTGATAAATCAAGACCGCTCTAGACTGAAACTCAAGTTTGTTTTTTTTTTAACACTTTTGTTACCATATAATTTAAGTGACAGAAAAACACTACCAATCCTGCAAACTCAATTACTTTATTAAACAATGAATAATATTCTTAATAAGGAGCGACTCCTAAAGGCAGTACAGTACTTATCCTCGGTAAACTTGAGCCCACTACAGACTTTATCCCAGTATTACGTAATAACTGCATGACTTGATGAAATGTTCTAGAAAGTTCTATGGTACGCAAGTCAGCATGACTAAGCAGTCTGGAGATTTCTAGAAGCTTATATTTACAACAACAATTACTCATAACACTTTGCACAAAGATTAATCTGGAAATTGAAAGTAATGATTTAAAATACTGGCTTTTTGTTAATGGCAGACACAGGAAGTTAAAATCAAGAGTGTTAATAAGATGCTGTAGTGTAGTTTTGGTAACCCAGTACATCATAAATGATCATTACTTAGTTGGGAATCACTGGACATTTTAAGAAACAATTTCAAGGAAACATGTGAAAAAGTTAGGTAGTATTAATTTATCAAAGAATTGATTTTAAAAATTACAAAGCTGTTTTAAACTATCTTGAAGGACTAATTAAATTCCAGGTTGTGGACATTATGGTTAACTCTAGAAAACTGCAAAGGAGAGCTTTTTCTCCAAACTTTGTTTTAAATATAGAGGCACATCAATTACTCAACTTCTTTCATTCTCGAGGTTGTGTAAATTGTACTAAAGTTTAAGGATGAGGAAAATTAGAAAAAATACTACTAAATAGGCTCTGATCAATCCGAAATTGACGTCTTGTTGGTTCTAAGTAGACCATAACATAGTTTTGAGGTCGATTTTTTAAGAATTCTGCTTTACTAGTTCTTCACTGTACAGTTGCAGCATCTTTCTCAGTTAATAGTGGAATGAAAACAACTTACTTTTACTTGTTTTGACTTGACTTGGCAAGTTGAAGAAAACCAGGTTTAAGCTGGGAAGCAAGTTCCAGTTACTCAGTAAGCTCATTACTACAGTAGATGTATGCGAAGCATTTCATACAAAATCATTTTGAAGATTCCTACTCAAGTAGAACTCATTTTCAGAAGGACAGCTTGCTTTGCCTTACTCTGAAGGAAAGGGCTTTGGGTCCAGAAGTACCCCTGAATGCACCCATGAACATATTGTACTTAACCTCTCCTTGATTAATGGAGAGACTAGGGAACCAATCAAAATTGATTTTTTTTTAATATAGACACAACAATGTTAGTCAATTCACAGCCTTTTTGTTTAAAGAAATGAGGTTGAGCTCTGAGCTCAATAGTCTATTTTACCTGGCCCAACCCCAATCACCTTACAATCTTGTTGCTATGATTTAGGATAAATAGGATGTTGGTAAACAGACTACAATCCTAGGCCCTGGTTGTAGTTCTGCTTTAAGTGACTGTTCAATACAGGTAGAAGACAATACAAACAGAACAAAGACTCTGTTTGGACTCAGTCAAGGGTGACCACAACAGATTAGGAGAGGTGACCACTTTATAGAAGCAAAAATTACAGTACTTAAAGGAAAAAAAGTTTTGGAACTTTCACAAACAATTACTCGATAAAGGGTGAACACTCAATACAGGTTCAATTGTATTCAAACTGTCATTTAATTCACTTTAGTTTAAGTAAGGTCAGGTTTATTTCATACCAATTGAAACATCACAATTCATGTTACACTATAAAAACAATAATTACTAAAATCATTATAATAATTACTCTTTCTGTATGTAATGAACTGTTTAGATCTATCAGCTCCTTAAAAATATTAAAATAGTAAGAAAGTGTCAAGTTTCATTTACATTAGCAGTAAACACTGTTAAATTTTACAGTATTAAATGAAATAAAAAAAAATATACAGTCTTGCTCTTAAAAATGCTAAGTACACTTCAGTAGCAAGTTACTTGTGTGTAATCCTTAACTGCAATGCAAATTTCTTACAACAAATAACTTAAAAAGTATCAAACACCCCTAGTTTCACAGACTGCCAAAATGTGATTAGTGCATTAAATTCCTAACTAAGAACACAAACTTAATCAAGTCCTAAATCCCTACAGAGCACAAGCCTACTCTACAACTAGTCCCTACAATGATACATTAAGTGTTTCAAATGGATCCCCAACGACAATGATAACAAAAAAAATTGTGAGCACTAATGGACTGATGCACCTCACCATATTGCAAATTGTAGCTGTTTTCAATCTAAATTCAAATGTCCACTACAATTTTACATCTGTTTGAGAGTTGCATCACATTTCATATCTCTTACTTGCTCTTTAAGTCATTTTTAAGACTGACCGGCTCAAGGTCAACCACAATCTGCATAAATGAAACTATGAGTAAGAAACAATAGATCAGGATGACATTAACTATAATTTCCATGCACTTCTGACCATCAGGTCAAAGTAGGCATCACTGTCAATGTTTGCTCCGAGGCAAGCATAGTACTCCAAAAACTCTGCCCTTGTGACCTACAGAAAAAAAAAGAAAACAGGCCATTACTAGAGTACAGAAAACAACCATGGCAATTAACAGCCATGGGTACACACAGTGAACCCTCTCTGATGTAATACCCTCAGCATCAAGTGCCTGTACTTATTGTGGGTTCTTTTCTACTGTTAGCTAGCCTGGCAGCTCAATTTTCATCACAAACCTGAATTTTTTTTAACAGTCTTCAAAATAATGAGTACAATTCCATAGGAATAGAGAATGAAATAGATCATTTTCAAATACATAATGTCTCTGCTTTAAAACGAGGCCCTTGAAATCAAAATCACTTTTTATCCTTAGGCAAGTGTACCTCATTTTGACTTGTCCTTACAGACACATGCATGATGTCAAAATTACCAACATTTTGCCAACTATGCCCTTTTATTTTGTTGTAATCACATTTTGACCTCATTTGGGATCAATTACTGAGCAGACACACAGCACTTGGAATCTATCTGTAAAATACATGTACATTATATATAGAGAGAGGGCTTTACAGGGGAGATCAATTTTAAAAAAACATTTACCAACCTTTCCATCTTTTTGATCTGGCTCAAATCTTTCAAGGAACTCCTCAAATACCTCCTTTTTAGTCATTTCACCATTTTTGTATTTGGGATGTTCTTGAACATTGTAATACCTATATGACACAAGAGTTGAGTTAATATTACTGACACTTATTTAATCCTTAAACTCCTCAAGTGACTGAGAGAAATTCATGAGCTAAAGGTTATAGAAGCACAACATCGGCATAGAATTATATTTACTAATTGCTACATCATTTTCATTAAAAAAATGCCTCTTTCTCCAAGGTTGTTCCAGATGTCCCTTGCACCTACATTGTTTTTTATAAAATAATTCAAATAGTACACGTGCTCTGATTGGCCATAAAACCATTTTACATGAGAGTACGTAAACATGGTTTTTGTTCCTCTTTCATTAGTTATTTTATAAAAGAAATGTAAAATGGTTTCCGATAAGCTGGAAACCACTCCGCTTGGCGTCGTGGTTTCCTACACTTATCTCGCATTCTCCCAACCTCCCGCATGTTTTGCCCATGTGGCTTAAGCTTATCACAGTTTCCTTCTTAAGAATGAACTATGAGTGCAATTAGTACCCCTCGGTGAGACACTGCTGCATCAATGTCACACACAGCACTCCTACTGAATTAAAAACAGCTTACCTCTCCATATCTTTACAATCGATCACACCATCTCCAGTTCTGTCAGCCTTCTTGAATGCCAGGTCAACCACTTTGAGTCTGCTCCCTGACAAAGGTTTCTAAAATGAAAGAAAGTCAAAGAATAAGAATTAAAACAAAGGTTTCAATACAAATTATCAACAATGGAAGGTAAATTTTGAGTCTGGTCATTGAGATGTGCATTATTTTGTGTTGAGCCAAACACTACAAGAAAATCCGAACCCTCTTGTGGAATTCAGCCTTATTATTAAATGCTCTGATTACCACTACACTACAGAGATGTATTTTCATATGTACATTCCTATGTCAGTCAGGCAGTAGCAAAGGGGTAAAGATCTGATCTTAATCCTCACATCCTCTTAGAGACTTAAGACCCATACACACCAGAGGTTTGTTCCTGAAGCATGCGTGGAGATCATTTTGCAAGACAAAGTCTCATGAGCCTACATTTTCAAATTTATTCAATTTTCCCAGGAATCTTGCCTCCAAATATTTGGCAGGTTTTATATTGTGTTGGATGAATATTCTGCTCCTAAGGATAAATTATGTCTGTGAAATTATTGGTACATACAGAAAGCTATGCGTCTGTGTGTACTCTAGGGATGGAACCAGAAGCAAAACCCTCTGCATGTACTAGTCTGGTCTTAAGATTTTCTCTTATATTAAGAAAGATTTAGAAAAGCTAGCTCCCAGTTATCACCATGTAACTGGTCTTTGCAAACAAATGGGTTACTTATCAACCACTGAAACTTACTAGTCTTGCTGGTTAATGTAACAAAAAAAGAAAAGCCTTCATAGGGATCTTGTTTCACACTTTTTCCAAAAACAAACTAGAAGAGTGGTTGGAACAGTTTAAGCACTGACTGATCTAGTCTGACATTTCTGTTTAATGACAAAATTGTGTTGATAAGTGGTTCAGTCTGGCTGCAATAGCATCATGGCAAAATCTCTCAAGATCAAGGTTAATGGTTTTAATTGGCCTCGCAAATTAAGCAAAGAAAATGAATCTTTCTTTTCACACATCATGGTTTCTTTGAATGTTTAAAATTAATTTCCAAATGTCTGTATATCTGATAACTATAATTTACCACATACAAATACATTTCTTTCTGCAGCAGTTAATATTTAGTGCAAAATATCCTTTACACGTACAAAACAAAAGTTACACACCAGATGCAAATAATACTTGAATACTGACAAACAAAAAGCTTTCCAAGTAGAACTTCAAGAGATCAATCATATAGCATGAAGAAAGATTTGTAACATTTGAAACTTACCCTGAATGCATTGATGAATTCATTAATGTCAACTTGCCCTCCCTTATCTTTGTCAAAATAGTCAAACAGTTCCTGAAATTCCTATTGATACAACATTAAAAAGAATGCACATAAGCACACTGTTCAACATATATGTATAACCTTGCACCTTTAATCCATTTTCTACCTTTTTACAGTCAAACCTGCATTAAGAAGTCACCCATAGGGAATGGCATGGTGATCCCTTCATGCAGGTTCCACAGAATAGGGGTATTTAAAAAAAAATTAAAATGCCATTTCATGTTTCAATGAACAACTAATTATACAAAACCAAAAACCTTACTAAAAAATACTACTTGCATTGATTTTGAGAGATACAGTAAATAAAGATACAAGTTTGCTTGAAAGATTATTCTTAGTTTTCTTTCTGTGGTTCTGCTTTGAGTGACCATTCAATACAGTTGAAGGACAATACAAACAGGCACTGGGAACTCAGTAAAGGGTGACCACAACCACTTAATAGAGGTAAAATTACAGTAAGGAGGAGGAAAAAAACTTCAGGGCTTTGAAAACATGACTGCTTAATACAGGGTGGCCACTTTATATGATGCAGCTTAACACAGGTTAAACTGTGTGTAATTTCACTGGAGGTAAACTAGTTTTTGCGATATTTCTGATCTCCCCTTGAGAAATGGAGAGAAAAGACCAGATTAAAAATATATTTTACTACTGTTCTCAACTACTCATCTGTTCCCATAATCTTGAAAAAGACTCCCAAATGTAGGTGTTCATTTTCACTTAAGTGAAAATCTGGGTCTTGCAGAGTTGCAGTGTTGTTCAGTTTTGTTGGGATATACTATCTAACATGGACTTCAGCTTTCACTCAAATTGTTTCACCTCATCTGTCAGTTGGACTTTATAGTCACGTAGACCTGTTACAAACTCGTCAAAGTTCAGAGAATTGCTGTAGTCATCATCAAAGATTCTAAAAGCTCTGAATAAAAAACAAAAAAAAGCAATTAAAAAATGAATAGCTCTAATCAAGAAGCAGTTCCCTAATTTTTTTATGAAGCAAAAATTGCAAAAACAGCACCAAGATAAAGTGAAGATCAGCTAAATCCGTAATGATGCTTGTGATTAACCCTTCTGCTCCTAGGATTAAATTAGTAATTTTCCTTACCATCTTTCACACAATTCTTATGATCCAAGTTCAAAGAATTTGGTATTGGATCAATTAATAATTCCATATATTGGATCTTTATCTCAATCCCCATTACTTATCTACTTGATATTGCATTGATATTGCAAAGAGAAATTCTCTCTTGGACACCCATGGGCATTAAAGGGTCAGGGCAGGAGACTGATTTCTTGATGATAAGCAGGATTACAGACCAAATTGGATGACAAAAAAAAATCTGTTTTACCAATTAGGTAAAAGTATGAGGAAATCTATGGCAAAAATACCAATAAGCCAAACTCACAAGTAAATAACAACTTAAGCAATAACTTTTACTAGAGGAAATTAACTCAGTGATCTTGATCGCAGTCCACACAAATGACATGCACTGTGCAAATAAAACAGGCCTAACATGTAACCTATCCAATTGCAGTGTCCAATCACAAACATAGCATATACACCATCCTATTAGTAATGATAACAATGGTGAGTGAAGTACAATTCAGGGAGCAAGCAATTAATTTCAAATGAACTGAGCACACAGTTCAAGGCCAGTTACATGAGCACAATTACATCTACATTATAGGACACCATGGCCAATTACCAACCAGCTCTGTCAAAAACAAAGTGCCAGAGACCCAGAGAAGAAATATTCCTATGTCAGGACAGCAACAGTCTTTCATGCATCATCCAAAAGTTAGTTAAATATATGTTTTTGTGTTTTCAAGCTGCTCACTAGAGACCTCTTGATTTTGATTGGTAAGCATTAGTCAGGCAGTTAATTTCCATTGGCTGTTTAACTGTCCAATTTTACTTTTTGTACTAAAAAGTACTAGTATATGCACAGAACAACTCACACAGTTTGTTGCTCCAAAAAAGCAACAACTGCCATTAAGAACTGGTCAGTTTTAAACAATTTGTCTACATAACTGTTCAGATCAGGCTGCTGATTACCAAATACACATGACAACTTCTCTCATTTAGGTGTTCGGTGTGGCTGGGTTCTAATGGTACCCTCACTAATTTCTCATCTGTTAATATACTGACATGGGAGATACTTTGGTATGTGGCCTGCAAGGCAGCAGATCTAATTGAGACATTGTTGTTGCTAATTTAACTCTATTCTTTTCACCACAAGGTTTCCTATGCTTATTTCCCATTGGGAAGAATTATTAATACAGCCATCAGAGAATTACTACACTCTTTTGTTGGTGGTAGGTGAGGCGTGATTCTAAGAGAAAAACTATTATCAACACTACATTGATTTTAACGGTTAGGATCAAGGCTGAAGGTTGAACAAGTGTTCAACTTATTGCTTGTTGTAGTTTTACAGCACTGAACACTTGTGATTTGTCCTACCAATAGTGCTAAATAGAGAACCATGCTATGAGCTAAATATATTGGTATACAAACTAACCTTCCAAGTCCTTTAGCTCCACCCGACCCTCTCTTTTTACAAGCATCCCTAATTTTTTGCATTGCAGGAGGAGCATCCATGTCGTGGTTGTGTATCAATGGCTCTGACAAACCTTCCGAAGGAAAAAACCATTCTCATGACGAAGCATTAAGCATTATACATGAAGTGAACGATTACAAACATCGTTTATCACACAAAGTGTCTGTAAACGACTGGTAAACTACGATGCGAACATTTACTGAACTGCTAACGTTACTTGGTGTCGAAGAGTCTAAACTGCACGTGGACTCGACACAGTGAAGAGCAAATGAAGCATCCAAAGTGCATGGTATAGAGACTAGATACCCTGATTTCAGACATTACTCCTACATAAAACAAAACTGGGTATTTAAACAAACAAAGCGAGCAAATTCAAATGTACCTGCCCAAATGAACTCTTCGATTAAAATTATGGAGATTGGAGAAGCAACTATGACACTCCCTTGCTTGGTAACCAGGCAGAACAAACAGCTGGAACCGCAAGGCATGCAGACATGTCAGGCGTGCAAATATTTACCGCAATAAAATAGAGCGTTACGAATATCGTAACACTTTTCATTACACGACGAAGGCAAAACGCAGGTTACAAAATTATGGAATTCTGCAAGAAACACAAGTGTACATATGTTTCGCTCTTTAACCCAATTTCGGTGGCTTTGAGACCTCTGTTACCGTTCATAAATTGGTCAAATATTATTTTGATTAATAGAATCGTCTGGAAATTAGATATTGATCACGATAAAATCATTCGAGAGGAAGAAAATACATGGTCAGAATAGATGGAACTTAAAATTTTTGACAATCTGGTTAACTGTTATCATCGTAGAAATGACAATCTAATTTCGTTATGGATTCGCCATACAACCGAGTCGACTGAAACAGTTCCCTAAGAAATGGAATTCTTTACGACTTCTTATATTTGGGTTCGCGTACAAATATTCAAAACTGTTTTGAAAGTGATGTTAAATTGCCTGAAAAATAAACTGCCATTCTTAAGAAGACTCTATTATCTGTGACTGCGGGAGGATATCTTGTAAAGTGTAAAATTATCTTTAAAATACTATTTTACGTGATAACTTCGCTTTGCAACAAGGAACTACATTTCTTAATTACTCATTATTGTTGATCCTTTCCTGTGAAAGTGAAAATGGAAAATTCTAGCTTTGCGGTTTTGTTGTTTAAGGCGTTTCTACAAAGGATCGCGAAGAAGACGGTACAAAAGCCATCCGTGTAAAACAATTCTACATTCCACTGTAACTGTGTTTTCGAAGGAATGAAACGAAAACTGCGAGACCGATCGAATGAAGAAATATGAAAATACTTTGGCATCATGGTGAGTTTCATTTTATAACTAAGTGTTCATGAATATTTTAAGAAACCCTCCAAATAGCGAGTAAATATTAGTCGAAAAAACAAGTGCTTCTCGAAAAATTCATGATAAATCACTCAAAGCACTTTGACACATTTTCTGGCTTAAGTTTAGGTTTCCCAGGTGAAGCATCAACATAAAGGATAAAAGTAATACAAGGCAAGGACATCAAGTGCTTAAAATAGCCTTAGCGTTACACGTCACGATATTATCACAAAGGAAAGAATAAATATTTTTTTTAATCAGACGCTCATCCTCAAAATTACTTATCACTGAGTGAAGAAACAGCTTGTTTTGGTGACAACGCGTTTCTTTGTCTCATTTCCTCTCAGATACCATTTCTAACGTTATGTCCTGCAGTGTTTCTGGAAAATACCTTGCACTTTTGAAGAGGCTAATATGATGTGTGCTGTTGGCGTGGGTGCGGAGTATTCCAAAAGCAAAATATTTCCCTCCCTTACAACTTGCAAATGAAATTTTTACCACCAAGGTGACAATAATAACCAAGAAACTGTTAGGTAGTGCATCCTTTCTGTTATCAAGCGGCTTTGATTTGCGATCTTTACACGAAATGTCGTTGTATCAAAAGAAACCGAACAAACTTTTGCTGTACTCAGTGTGCTAATACAGGAATATGCCTCGCATTTTTGTTCGTACCTTAACTAAGCAAGGCTTATCAGAATTATTCATCAAACTCCATCATGAAAATACTAACACCTACCTCTAAAGAAAAACGCAGTTCTGTGGCGAGGAAACGTCAAGGAGTCTTTAACGACTTTGCTGCAGACGCGCTTGAAAGTGATGTGTAAATCAGCAGAGCCGCGTGTATTTGACCGCGACCAGTAACAAGCCTTCATTTGCAAGCTGATTAGCATGAGTTGGAGACGCCTTGATGCTTTCTTTGTCATTATGGTAATTTTACTCTCAAGTATAGTTTGCGGCTTATAAACAAAGAAATACGCCATGTGTGTTTATTTTCAGACATATTTATATTATGTAAATATCTAAAAAAGTTTTCTTTCAACTGTTTTTCATCAGAATGTTCAAATAACCCCAGTCACATTCTATGCTTTTGCCTCTCTTCAAAAAATTGCAACTCCTGCAACGTTCCAAAACTCGAGTTCGATCGTTTCTTCTTTTTTCCAAATGTTTTAGGATCTCAAGGGAGCATTTTCTCTGAAAGATCATCAACATTCATTAAAGATAATGTAATGAATACTATGCGCAGTCTTACTGCTTGGGAAGCCATGTCTGAACGCCAATTATTTATTTAGTGTTTCCTTTGTGCCTTGATGATACAATAAAATTAATTATTTCTCCTTCGTGTGTAACTGATGGTCGAGCGCTCCTCTTCACCATTCTTTAACAGTGCTGAAGAGGAGCACCTGACCATCAGTAAAACTTCCAATAAAAAGTTTACGCTCGCCGGCATCTCTAGCCCAGATTTCTTGCCAAGCATTAAGCTTGGCAAGAAATCTTGAAAGCCATGTCTTCCCCGTTAAATCACACGTGGGAAATGTTGTTGAAGATGATCTTTATTTTCAATAATGAATACATGTTTTCTAGCGAGGTTGATAGATTCCATATAAAACCACGCGGAATTTCCTCTCTCGATTACTTAATACCAAAGCTGAGCGCCAGTCATAACTATGAAAATGAAGTTTGTTTTGAGCTAAACTTTGCTCGTCTAACGCTCAAAGCGATGGGAAGACAACCTAGCATTTCTTCCAAATACTGCCCTGACCAGCTCTGCGCCGAACGGACCGTAAACAAATATCTGGTGGCTGGAATATCCCATCTGAAACAAGATCCGCATTACTGATACAATCATGGTGGGTCCACCGCATAATAGTACTTTGTGCTCCAACACTTGAGGACCTACCAGGTGATTACTGATCATGTCCTTGTCGATATGCCCCTCTCCGCCCTGCCAAGTCTCTTGCCCTGCACCTTTAGAGAGTGTGTAGAACACTCGAAAACGCTCATCACGTGCACTGTGGTCATCTAACTCACTCTTGAACATGAACTCTGACTCAGTTTCCGCGGAGTACAACATGGACACGGAAGTCTGATCTCCAGGGTCTGCCATGATGTCACGCACAATTTGAATACACGGAGTGGCACCTGAACCGCTGGCCACAAGACTAATATGTTTGACTGAATTTGACTCGTACTCAAAACCCCCACAAGGGCCTCGGAACTCCACCAGGTCACCTAAATATCAAAAATGCAAAAATCATGAAGGCAAACCTGAGACAGTGTAAATAAACCCATGGATGATATTTCCTAAACTTTTAACGCTTAGGCTCGAATCAATTAAGCTTTTCACTGAGTCTGGGCTTTCCCATTCCTCCCTTCCACCAACCCCAATGCCGGGGGGGGGGCAAAATAGCGACATGCTTCCCGGCAACCTGAAAACCGACCAGTTATAGGACTTACTATCAAGTGAATATGACTTTTATGAACAATTGGGGCCATGACAGAGTAGTTAGAATCCGCTGGATAACACCATCTTGGATTGACTACGCACTGAAGGAAATGACATATTGTTCTGGAAATAAAATCTTGATTACAGTAAATAACTCTAACTCAGGAGTAGTCTTCAGGGTCCTTAGCGATTCCTCTGATGGCTATTGCTCAGACCACACGATTAAACTGGTTCAGGAAGCTCACGACACGTTGCCCAAATAACATTCTAAATTGTTAAGGCAATGATGCATCTCACACAACAGCTCTCTGTTTGAATAATAAGGAGTCGGCTATTTTAACATAGCTTAGCCGATAAATCAAACCTCGTATTTTAAAAAAACCGCCTTCAATTCAGCCGAACGTCTTGTAATAGCCAATACTAGAAAAACCTTTATTCGCCCCATGTAATCTCTTTACATTAAAATTAACAGGGCCATTTTTGCCTAGAACTAAAGCCTAAGTTAGAAACAGTTTTTTTTGTTTTACGATGGACTTATTGCCTGAAAATTGAAAGGAGCAATAGCAGTGACTTCTCAAACAGTAACAATTATCACATGAATTCAACAGCAAAGTTACTCCCCAAAGAATATGACGTAGATACCAAACAGAGAGAAACGCACGTTAATAAAGAAAGTACAGTCTGTGTGGAGAAATCAAGAAATTCATGACAACTACTTTTTCTTTTTTTAAAGTTAAATACTGCAATAGGCTTGCATTATATCACTGAAGTTCTGACAAATTTTTTCCTACTTTATTTATTATGTATAAATCTCCTTACTTGAAGTTGTCGAGTAATCAAGAACCTTACGTTTTGACTTTCCTTTTTTTACCTGGAGTAAGTGCCTTAAATCTCTGTGATAATTGACCATGACTCTCAAACTTCATGACCAGGTCTATTCGGCCAAAATCTGCGGTGGCGTTTACTGGCGAAAAATACCGCTGACAGTACTTCTCGCCGTCCTTGTCTAGAGGTACTCTGACTTGGACATACTGGCCCGGTAGACAACCAGTATGTTGAGATGCTTGGGGTAGAGCGAACTGAAATTCTGCTTGCTTATCTCCCATTGGTATCACGGACAGGAGCTTTAAGGGGAAAAAACAGTCGGGGCTCAGAGCGGCTAGGTGTTCTGTTCCGTTTGCATCAGTGATGGGGCCTCTACTGATCGATGGCCGAGTATTGAATGGGTTATCAAATTCTGTGTCCTGGTAAGATGATGAGTCACTCTTCTCAACTGGTCCGTTCATTTCAACCTCACGCATCAACTGCTGGGCGATTTCCAACTTTTCTTCGTCCTTTAGTTTTAGCAACTCGGCATTCAGGGTACGTCTATTGGCTGATTGAGACCTAAGATCAAAGGCAATAGCGCAGTGTTTAATTCAAGTTTCCTTTATCATATCATTCATACGTTCAACCGGTTCAACTTATCCTGGCCGTCTATGCCTGGTGTCAGACTAATTCAAAAGAAAGCTTGGATTCAGACTGACCTAAGTTGTCACTGCGTTCGCAACACTAATTTCGAGGATAGATCGGAGAAGATCGAGGCGGATCAGGGGAGAGTAGATATATATTATATGATTAATTCCCTTAAATGCATAAAATTGAAAATGTGTCTACATACAATAAGTAGGCATCGGATCTTTTTTGTGAAATACTCTTCCCAGCGC